AAGCTTTTCAAAATATATCTCATAAATTACTTATACTGACTTCAAAACATAAATTGCATTTCACCTTGCAGTTGCCAAGATATATTCATAACGTGGTGACCAGGAAACTGCCAGTATTTCTTGTCTGTGACCTATAAATACAAATGCATGAAAAGTTTTGCAAAATATTTGGAAAAAATCAAAAGATAAAGTACCAATATTGAGCCTGATTCTGAAGAAAGTGAAGAATATTAAAAGTGAAGTAATTGATATGATCTTTTTTTTTTTTTAACATTTATAACAACAATCTGTTTAAATATTAATGTGAAATCTATGGGGCATGAGGTTATTGCCCCATAACATACGAGGTGGTTGATATTTTATTAATAAAAGAATTAATTTTGCCTTAGAAAGAACAATCAAAGCAAGTCTTTTTAAATACAGTTGTTAGCTTATATAAGTCAATCCATCAATAACTGATATAGCTCAAGATCAATTAACTGTACAACAAAAAGTCACTGCAACAAAACATACAAGATAAACATTTTAAAGAATAAACAATTTTCAATTTCTCAGAAAGTTTTAACAGACAAAAAATTATTTTAACTCATGATCACAAAAAAGCATTTGTATAAAAATTTTTTTCATAGGAAGTGATTCACTTTTTACCTAACTCAACTATTCAAATCAGACATTTTCTTCTGCCTAGCTTATATTAATAGAAATTCACTATAAAAAAATGTTATCCATCCTACCAAGTTTTCCTAATACATTTATTATGTATTTCTTAAAAATGAACAAAAATGAGTATTTATGAATTTACATTCCATCTTTTCATTGTTTAGAATTAAATAGTAGCAAAAAATAATTTAAAGGAATATACCTTTTCCAAATAAAGTATTATTTCAATATTTTTTTCTAACATTTTTATTGAGGAAAAAAAGCACCTAAATATTAAGAACAATGTTTAATCATTAGTCAGGACAACATTAAACAATGCTTAGTAAACATGTGTACTGTGTAAGTTTCATTAGCAGTTTATTTTTTTAAATGTAGAAATAACAAGGTTTTGATTTAACCTGTCTCATTTCCATATCCTTGAGCTTCCCCTATGGCTGCTGTTCATATAAATCTCTCCTCAATAGTTCAGTTTTCTAAGAATAATGCACAGAAGGATCTTTATTTCCCTGTTGACTATTAACAACTAGCACAAAATACATTAGTCATGTCACTTACAAAGAACACATTGTTAGTAATGTTTCTTTTTATTGAATGTTTATTGTTTCAAATTAAAAAATACCCTGTAGAATGTGGGAACAGGATCCAGACTTCAAGTCACAAAGTTGTACTTTGGGCCCTCTAGTACCAACTGTAAAAACAAAAATTTTTGAAGATAATTTTACTACACATCATCATCAAAAAGAAACAAGAAACAAACATTGTAATTCCTAACATTTGTTACTGTATCCTTCCAGAAATATAAAAATGTACGCCAAAAATATATTTCAAATCATTTTGTAATTTTATAATTGGAAAAATTATTTTAATCACAGTTATACTTTGGTAGTAAAAGAGCTCTACTACTGCACTGCTTTTAACTTTTTATTTTGAAGTAATTATAGATTCACAGGAACCTGCAAAGATAGTAGAGAAAGGTCCCATGAACTCTTCATCCAGGTGCCCCCAATGGTTATATCTTAGGTAATTACAGTACATGCTCAAAATCTGGAAATTTAAATTGGTACAATATATGTGTATGAGTTCTATGCCATTTTACTACATTAAATCATTTTATTTTAATAGCTTAGTTTTTCCATGTAAATGACATACTTCCAACCACCAGTAATAGATTCACAGAAACTCTGGACACAGACTAAATGGACCTCAAAGATAATTTAGCGCACAGCGTTTCTTCACAGATGAAGCAGTTCACTCATGTCCAGAGGTGAAGAGACTGGCACAGTGCCACAGAAAGACTGGAATGACAAGGACCAGATACCTGGTACCAGAAAAGCATTTTTTTCTTCCTTATACATAAAAAATATTGTTGCAGAGACTTTTGTATAAATGGATATTTAATTTGAATCATACAATCCTTAAAGAGAGGTAATAATTTCCTTGTTCTATTGTCTTCAATTAAAAAAGTTACCATATTTTGTTCATGTGAAATCTTTGAAAAGTTGATGGTTTAAAAGTAAAGTCTCTAGGGGACAGAAATACGCTTTCTTAATCTTTGAATCCTGGCCACTACCATAGTGCCTGACTTGAATACTTTCTGTTGAACTGAATATAAATAGTAGTGGCACATATTTAAGTTTCTTTTTAAAGAATTGTGATCTTCATATGGGTTAAAATGTCTATATAAAAATTAACTAGATATAAAAAGGGAGAAAGTTTCAAAATGTTAAAAGACAAAAGAATACATGTACAAACCTGCTACCAAACAGTGCTTGGTGGCAACTGGAGACATATGATGACTATAAACTGTTTCCTCAAAATTAAATACATCTGCAGTCTGATAATCAAAACACAATTTTAAAGTATGAGTTGTAATTATAATTACAAAAGCAATAGTTTTTTTATATTTACTTTTAGACACTGCTAGCAATTTTGAAAAATTGAGTGTTAGCAATTTGATTTAGACATGGAAAAGTGATGTTTCCCTCCAAAACCCTAATAATTCAAATCCTATGTTATCTACAATACTCTTTTCCTTTCTGGGAGAAGAGTTGTTCCCTGTAAATCTCAGAAATTAAGAAAAGACAAACACCTACCTTACCATCTTCCCCTCCACTGCAAGTGCTGCTTTCATTCTGGGTGACTTCAGCGTCTAGTCAACACTCTGCCTCAGTTCCATACGAACTCAGCTACCACACCTTGGATACTGTCACGGCCTAGAACTGCTCTTCCTTTGAAATCATACATTTATCTATGACTACAATCTTCTATCATTTTCAGCTCCCACCCGCCTCTGCAACTACCCTTCAGATAACTGAATAAACTCCTAAAGCCTTATCATTTCCTCTCCAACTTGGATTTCAAGGTCCAATATGTCAATCACTGTCCTGCCAACTCCTTTACTGTTACCCTTCTACCTGGCAAAACCTCAACTCTGGATGACTCTAAATGTCTGTCTTCTCTGTAGCTATATCCAGGTTGATCTATATCAAGGGTGAACAAACTTCTTCTGTAAAGGGTCAGATAGTAAATATCGCAGGCTTTGAGGACCACCTACCTAGCTCTGCCATTGTAGTGTGAAAGCAACAATATGTAATGCATAAATGAATGACCATGTCTGTGTTCCAATAAAACTTTATTTACAAAAACAGGCTATATTTCAGACTTGACCCACAGCCCCACCTTGGTCTGTGGGTCATAGTTTGCCAACCCCTGCTCTACCCAGGTGAACAAAATCTTATAACAGGGTAGGCTGGTGCCACTATAAAAGCTCGTTCACCTCAACTGGGCCTTCAGTATTGACTGCCAGTCCTACTATATTTCAAGAGTATTCTCTCTGCAATATTCCACAGTTATTTCAAATCTTCTCCACAAACATCCCTACTCAGTCACAATAGGTGATCTGACCTTTCACTTCAAAGAGAAACAGGAGACACCCAATGAGATCTCCTCTAATGTCTTACCAACAAACCTACAAACACATTTGCTTCAACTTACCTTTTTCACTCCTGTTTAGAAAAATGATCCTTCCTTATATTTAATCTCTCCATTTGTGTTCAGATCCCCTTCATCACTGTCAGAAATCTCATCCTATAGATTACCTCCTCTATCTCCTGTGTATCTCTTCCTACTAGCTCATTCCTATATGCACTGAAAAATGGTCAAGTCTCTTTTAATAGCACCACCTTCCCCAAGAGAAAAAAACCTTTTCATGCTATATTTCCTCCAGCTAATCTTTCTTCCTCTTCAAATCTAAATTTTGGTTGTCTTTAATTTCTTATCTTTTATGTATCCCTCAGCTCACTCCAATCTTATGTTTATCTCCACTGCTCTCCATTCACAAGAGCCCCAGTGGAGCAGTGGTTAAGCGTTCAGCCGCTAATCAAAAGGTCAATGGTTCAAACCCACCAGCTGCTCCGTGGGAGAAAGATGTGGTAGTCTGCTTCCGTAAAGATTTATAGCCTTGGAAACCCTATGGGGGTAGTTCTACTCTTGTCTTACAGGGTAGCTATGAGTTGGAATCGACCTGACAGCAATGGGTTTTTGGCTTGACTCCATTCACACTACTCTTCCAATATCAACGATAACCTCCTATCACTGAATGTAGTGCTTATCTTCCCTCATCTGTCAGTATCATTCACCATAACTGACTACTCCATCTTCCTTAAAACAATGTCTTCCATTGTATCACATACTCCTAGTTTTCCTCTTACTTTTTTTGGCTACTCCTTTGTTCTTTTTCTGTCCTATTAATCTGAGTCTTCTTCAGAGTTTTGTTACATATATGTACTCTTCTATATGGTAATGTCTCACAAACGTATTTTCAGTGTAGACTTCACTTCTGTAGCTACGTAGCTCAATTTCTGGATCTCTCCATTTGGATTTCTTGTAAATAATTCAAACTTAATGAGTCTAAAATTTAACTCATAATGCCTTCTATCCTTATCTTAGCAAATAATATAATGTACCCAACTGCCCAAACTCGAAACCTTGATTTTCAAAAATTATAGTGTTATTGAGATATAATTCACAGATCATACAATTCCCCCCATATAAAGTACACAATCCAAAGGTTTTTTGTATTCACAGAGTTGTGAAACCATCATCACAATCAATTCTAGAATATTTTCATCAATGCAAAAAGAAACCCCTTACCTATTAGCAGTCACTTCCCATTTTCTCCTAACCCTCCCAGTCCTAGGCAATCAATAGTCTAATTTCTGTCTCTATAGATTTGCCTATTCTGGACACTTTATATAGATGGAATCATACAATATGTGGTATTTTGTGACTGGCCTCTGCCATTTAGCATAATATTTTCAAGGTTCATCCATGTTGAAGCATGTATCAGTACTTCTTTTCTTTTTATTTCTGGATAATATTTCATTATATAGATGTAACATTTTTCATTTATTCGTTTATCAGCTGATGGACATTTGAGTTGTTTCTACATTTTAGCTATTATGAATAATCTACTATGAACATTCATGTATGAGTTTTTATGTACATGTTTTCATTTCTTTTGGGGATATGCCTAAGAGTGGAAAGTTGAAATCACTTCTCTGAGCTTTCCTTTTCTTTAGGATCTGGCCTCTCAAGTCCTAGATACTTTGGCAACTTTATAGAACCCTCGAACAGATGTTTATATTTTATCTAGTTTTTCTCAATGGAGGTGTTGGTTTGGCTACAAGCTTTTCTATCATAGTCAGAAGCAGAAGTTCATGACTTATTCATTTTAGTTCCTAAAATATATTCTTAATAAATTCCCATTTTCAATGATATGTATTTTAAACAAATAAACATTATTATAAAAGTAAATCCAAAGTGATAAACCTACTTTTTCCTCCAATACAGAACTGTCAAAAAAGAAAAACATCTATTTAAACTACTTGAAGTGCATTGAGTTTTTATTTACTTACATAGTACTACATACATTTTTCAGATTAGAATCATATGTACATTTCATGATTTTATTAGTTATAAACAGGTGGTCTTTTACATAGATCATTAGTCATCCATAAAGTACACCCACTCCTCACTTATCAACATGGTTAGGTTCCAAAGACTAGGTCATTATGTAAAAATCAGGACTTTCCAAAAATGCAGGATGACCACATCAGATCACAGAATGGAGGATGACTACATCATTACCTAACTGTCAAAATACATCATTGCCTAACTGTCAAAATACATCATTGCCTAACTGTCAAACAACTGAGAATCATGGCCCAGCCAAGCTGACACATTAATCATCATACCCTGCATTACTCTTACCTCGCACTTTGGTGTTCGTTATTGCCAGATGTACACCGTCAATATGAAAAATAGATAGTAGATTTTATACTATTGTCGTAAATGCAAAATGTTGGATAGTGAGATAGTCAATAACTGAGGAGTGGATGTCTTTGTTTGGCAGTTCCTCTACATAGCACTGGACTTAGTAGTTATAAAACACAGTTCTTGTCTTGGGGAGTTCCAATTCAGAAAAACAGACAAAACATAGATATGGAAATGAAATTATAGGATAGTATAAGAAAATGTGTTGAAATGAGAATACAGAAAATAGTGCTATAAAAATTCAAATAAATTGGTGATTAATATGAACTCCAGAAGCTGAAATCACTGACTATACAAATGAACTAGAAGGGACCTTAGACATTATCTAGTCTGACACCTTAATTTCATAGCTGAAGAGACCTTTGCTAATAAATCAAATGACCTACCTAAAGTAACACATCTAATAAGTAGCAGAATGGGACTAGAACTCTAGTGTCCTGATTCTTGGTTCAATATAATTTCAAAAAGGGGTGTGACCTTAAGAGAAGGGAAAAGCTGCATAGGGAAAGGCAGTCAAGGCATGAAATACAAAATAGTAAAGACATGATCAGAGGCAAAAGGGGATCAGTTTAGCTGCAGTAAATCATTTATGTTGAAAAGAGAAAATAAACTTGAGGAAGCAGGGTGTGAGGTTATGAAGAATTAGAATGCCAGGCTAAAAGTAGATGATGGGAATCACCAGAAGCTTTGAGTCAAGTAGAGACATAATGAAACTGTTTTATAGTGAAATTCTGAGGTAGAACTTATTGAGAAAATGTTGGAAGCAAAGTTGGGCAGGAAAACTAGTCAGGAGTTTTTAACAGTAGTCTAGATGTGCAGTGAGGGTAAGAAATAAAATAGAGAAATATAAGAGAGTTTGAAAGAACTGCTAAGATTTGATGAATAAATGGATATGAAGAGTGTTCATATTCACTTTGGGACATGTAACTTTGAGGAGAAGACATGCTCAAGTGGACATTTTCTGTAGACAGGTAGAGTACTTGGGATCAAAGCTAAGAGAAAAGATTGGCACTAGAAATATAAATTTGACCTTGTTTTTGTTAGGTGCCACTGAACTGATTTCAACTTACAGCGACCCTATGTGACAGAGTAGAACTGCCCCATAGGGTTTTCTAGGCTATAATCTTTACAGAAGCAGACAGACGTGTCTTTCTCCTGTGGAGACACTGGGTGGCATTGAACTGCCAACCTTTCAGTTAGCAGCCAGGCACTTAACCATTGCACCCTACTATCCACTATCTACCTTTACTAAGTTATACTAAAAACCTTCTTTTCCTTTAAGTTTTTCGGTTGATAGGAGATAAATCCAATTTTCTTCATTATATCACTGGACCATGTTGTTGTTGTTAGGTGCCGTTGATTTGGCTCCGACTCATAGCAACCCTATGTACAACAAAATGAAGCACTGCCGGGTTCTGCACCATGCTTGAGCCTAATGCTGCAGCCACTGTGTCAATTTATCTCATTGAGGGTCTTCCTCTTTTTTGCTGACCCTCTACTTTACCAAGCATGATGTCCTTCTCTAGGGGCTAGACCATACTAGTTTTAAAACAATGAAGATACAATAATAGCAATTTTTTGAGCATTTATTATATGCTAGATACTGTTCTGATACTTCATTTACCAATGAGGAAACAGACACAGAGAGGTTTGGGCTCCTATCCAATGTCAATACAGCTAGTCAGCAGCAGAGCCAGGATGTGAACTCAAGCAGTCTAGCCCTCCTTAACCCCTGTACTGCTTTCACATGTATCATTCAAGACATCTTAGCAAATAATCACACTAAAATGGCTTAGGATTAAATTCTCCTTCATCCTATAGAGCAGTTTGGAAAGGTTTTAATGTACTTACTTGTAATGTATTTGTATCCCATATTTTGAGAGTTTTATCAAAGGAGCTCGATGTGAACATGCCAGTGTCATGAGGATACCACTGCACAGTCTCCACACTGTATTTGTGAACATCAGGATGGCTTCTACAAAACAGCAATCAAAATTTAGGTCTGACTTACGTGAATTTCAAAACTGATACTATATTAAGAATAAGCAGCAGTCTCAGGGAGGACGATATGAATGGCCAAATCTAGATCACGTGCCTGTATCCTAGTTGTCCAGAAGAAAGGAAGAAAGATTTAAAAAGAATTTTGGTAGAGGAAAGTAATCTTCGGTGTTCAAGAAGAAATAAAGTAAATTTACCCAGAATAAGTATCAGGAGATAGTTTGAATTAAAGCACATTAACTTAATAACAATTTTTATTGAAATGATTAAAAAAAATTAGATCATAAACTCTTCAGATGTAAAAATGCTGATTTAACTCATTTTATAAATATGCTCACTACACTTCTGAAAAATGGAGTTTGAATCCAAGAAAAAAGTCATGGTAAAGGAAAAGGCTGGCACACTAAGTAATTACTTGACTTTGATACATTGCCATCGAGTTGATTCCAACTCATAGTGACCCTCGACTTTATGCAACAAAAAAAAAAAGTCATGGTTTGAATTATGTCCCCCCAAAAATGTGTATATCAATTTGGCTGGGCCATGATTCCCAGAATTGGGTGGTTGGCCACTATTTTGTGATTTTGATTTTATGTTAAAGAGGATTAGGGTGGGATTGTAACACCAGCCTCACCCAGGTCACATCTCTGATCCAATGTAAAGGGAGTTTCCCTGGGGTGTGGCCTGCACCACCTTTTACCTTACAAGAGATAAAAGGGAAGCAAGCAGAGAATTGGGGACCTCATACCATCAAGAAAGCAGTGCTGGGAGCAGAGTGAGTCCTTTGGACTGGGGTCCCTGCACAGAGAAGCTCCTAGTCTGGTGGAACACCGAAGAGAAGAAGGCTGACAGAGAGAAAAAGCCTTCCCCTGGAGCTGACGCCCTGAATTTGGACTTTTAGCCTACTTTAACTGTGAGGAAATAAACTTCTCTTCGTTAAAACCATCCACTTGTGGTACTTCTGTTATAGTAGCACTAGATGACTAAGACAGCATAGTTCCCACAGAATAAATGTTATGGAACATATGAAAATACTATTTGCTATATAACAATTTAGACAACATTAAAATGTTAGCTAGGATGAAATAAGATAAAAATGAATTAAACTAATTAAGAGAACTGTTTTACACTTCAAAATTTAGAATGTTTTGTTTCTTTGTTTTTTTGGGGGGAAGGGGGTGAAAATGGCCTAAGCTTCTTGAAATCAAGTTCCAGAGTATTTGAGGTGACACCTTGTTTTGTACTAAGGTTCTCCATAACTATAATGCTTTCCATTCACACAGTGCATTTACAGTTTTCAAAGTGATTTTTAAAAGACAGTATCTCACTTAATTCTCACAGAAACGTTATAAGAATAGCAGGGCAACTGTAATTATTTTTAATTTAAGACAAAAAAATCTGAGGCTCGGAGATATTAACTATCCCAAATTTATATTTCCAAAGTGAAGTGCCAGAACCAAGAAACAATTAGCCTTCTTGCAAATATTCCTTGGACTTAAGCATATATTCTAGTGCTCTGGGAATAGCTTTAATACAGAGTGGTTGTGATATTGTTT